TGGTGGAAGTGTTATTTTCATTGTAATTGATTTATTTATTTAAATATAATTTATTTATGTGTATTTGTTTCATATTTTACATAATTTTGGAGATTGATTTGTATTTCATTAGCGAGTGCTGTTTACGGTGTTTTTGCACTGTTTTTTAGGTTTTTAATATCACAGGCATACCTTGGTTTACGAATTTAATGCGTTTTTTTTTCCGGGACGTTTCGTGTTGCGAAAAATTCGTAAACCGAAACGCGATTTCCCATAGGAATGCATTGAAAACCAATTAATCCCTTCCAAAGGTCAGAAAAATGTAAAAGAAAAAGTCTTTTATCTGTTTTAAAACTCTTTATAAAGTGCACTTTAAAGGCATAAATACTGTACAGGGACTTGATTAAAAATTAATTCGTAAATGTATTGAAAACCAGTTAATCCATTCCGGAGGTCAGAAAAAAAGTTTAAAAAAAGTCTTTTAGTGTTTAAAACTCTTTATAAAGTGCACTTTAAAGGCATAAATACTGTACAGGGACATGATTAAAAATTAATTCATAAATGCATTGAAAACCAATTAATCTATTCTGAAGATCAGAAAGGAGTAAAAAAAAGTTTTATCTGTTCAAAACTCTTTATAAAGTGCACTTTAAAGGCATAAATACTGTACAGGGACATGATTAAAATTAGTTCATAAATGCACTGAAAACCAATTAATCCATTGGTCAGAAAAAAGTAAAAAAAAAGCCTTTTAGCTGTTCAAAACTATAAAGTGCACTTTAAAGGCAATGCATCCTGGGGAAGCTTGCTTCATATTGCGAAAAAAAAAATTGTCAACTGAGGCATTATTTTCAATGGATTTTCATTCGTAAACCGAAAATTACATTAACTGAAGTGGTCGTTATTATACAGGATTTATATGGCACCAACAGTTTGCACAGCGCTTTACAACATGAAGGCAGACATTACAGTTACAATACAATTTAGTACAAGAGGACACAGAGGGCCCGGCTCGGTAGAGCTTACAATGTAGGAGGAGCTTATATTGTGAACGCCCTCCTCCTGATGTACTCTCACCTGGTATATATGACCAAACCGTTAAGTAGGGTCATATAACGCTTGTGTGCATGGAAAAACGCAGGTAACTGTAATGGAACATAGAAAATGATGGTGTCATGTTCACATCAGAACGCAGTGTTTCTATGTGCCATAGCAACATGTTTGCATAATATCATACCGCAATGCACAGAAACGCTTGTAAAAATGCACCGCAAAGCACCTCTCACCCACAACAATAGGCCAGGGGAAACATGCCTTTGAAAAAAAAATGCAGATAAATATGATAAATATGCGTATAAGTGTGCATAACAATGCGCATGCAAAAACATGCCAAAATGCAATGCACTGGTCCCACGCACCGCAAACTAGCACATTATGACAGATGTAGCTCTACCCCCTTGAGGGCTGGATTTTGCTGGGTCCCCCTAAGCTCTGCACAACCAGGCACATCTCATTTTCTCTCTCAGAATCAGTAAAACAGTCCTTGAGCTTGTTTTTGTTTTTATTAGTAGTTAATAACTTGGATGGGGTCTAGGGGTATATGGGGTGGCCGAGAAACTTTAAAACTTTGAGGACAACTTCTTAGCAAACTCTACAAAATGTGGACTAAAAATCAACAACCCCTTTGGAGAACCTCCTCAGACCCCAGATGAAACTCTCCTCATCCACCCGGCTCTTCTGAGGGTATCCCTGGGCAAGGGATCTACAGCTGAGTAGTCTCAGATAAGAACTAGTTGGGTATTGCACCTGACTGCCCTTTTCCTTCTGTGGCCCAAGGGGTGTAAAAATACTCACACTGTCCTTTTTCTGTAGCTTAGTGGGTTGCAGACACTTTCAGGCCTTATGCTGGGTTTGCTCCTTCCTTGCTTACAGGCTGTCCTCCCTAGGAGACTGTGGTACATTGGGGATCCTTCTGTCTGCTCCAGCCTGTAGGTAAGCTCCCTCCCTGAGGCCCCCCCCAGACTCCATGCTCCAGCATCTTCCTTTAGTCCATCTTCCTCTGGACTCCAACAACTTCCCTGCTGTTCCTTCTTCAGTCCATCTTCCTCTCCACTCCAACAACTCCCCTGCTGTTCAGGCTTTCTCACATTTAAGGGCTGTCCAAGTCACCATGCCAGGCCTACCACCTGGCAATCGGCCAGGTTCTCTTAAATATGCAAATCCAGGCCTCCTCCCCTCCTCCGTCCCTCTTCCAGAACGTTCCAAGGGAGGGCTCTAGAAGCCCTGACCTGTAGAGCCTCCAAGCTTGAACTGAGGTAACCTCACTGCCTCACTCTCAGGCCGGCTCATCCCAGGCTTCCAACAAGCCTCTGACTAACCAAAAAAAAATCCTATCTACCTAGTGGGTGCTACATCCACCCCCCGCTACAAATAGCCATGTCCTCACTGGCTGGGGAACAAATAAATGGTTCGTGACTCCAGGGGCAGGACATCCCATATAAAAAATACAGGGAGGGGAGGGGAAAAGGGAACAAACTTGGAAGGGGATGTTTACAATAAATATGTCAGTAGCAAAAATATAATATGTACACTTTACATATATAAAGTAGCAATGTCAATATATTTACACACTACAGCTCCCTGCAGCTAGCAGCAACGTGAAGAAAGGGAACACAACATTTGGCATATGTACATTAAGTCATTTGGTATGAAATGGAGCACCTCCTCCTTGAAGGTATCCACAAAAGTTCAGAACTTGTTCCTCAGCAGGAAAGACAGCCGTCCATGTGATACCTGCAGAACAGCACAATCCTAACTATCTAGCTGTCTCAATAATTTATGTTTCAAACACTTCGGCAATAAATGTCTTCGAGCTATAAAAAAATAATTTAAGAAGGAGCCCCTCCTGGCTAAGTAATGAAGCTAGGCTGCATCCCAGCATCGTCCCCAGGCCAGCACATCTGGGAAGAGATAAAACAACTTTAATCCGACTTAGTTCGTAAAGAAAAGAAAAAAAAAAGACAATCCCGTTGGCTGGAATCCTGCATCAACCTTCTTTTTTTGCTTCTAACAGTACAATCGGGGGCTAAGCAGTCTAACAACTGTGCCATCAGGCTTCTAGGCGGCTAAAGAATACCTGCAACTTGGCCATCCAGCTTTTAAACCACTTGCCTACCAGGCACTTATACCCCCTTATTTACCAGGCCAATTTTCAGCTTTCAGCGCTGCCGCAGTTTGATTGACAAATTGCGCAGTCATGCAACATTGTACCCATATGAAATTTTGATCATTTTTTTCTCACAAATAGAGCTTTCTTTTGGTGGTATTTAATCGCTACTGGGCGCTTCACTTTTTGCGCTATAAATAAAGAAAGTGCAAACAATTTGAAAAAAAAAAAAGTTTCTTTGTTTCTATTGTAAAATTTTTCAAACAGGTATTTTTTCTCCTTCACTGATGTGCGTTGATGAGGCAGCACTGATGGGCACTGATAGGCGGCACTGATGGGCACTGATAGGCAGCACTAAAGGGCACTGATAGGCAGTACTAATGAGGTGGCACGGATAGGCGGCACTGATTGACAGCACTAATGAGGTGTCACGGATAGGCGGCACTAATATGCAGCACTGATAGGCGGCACTGATAGGTGACACTGATGATGGGGTACTGATAGACGGCACTGACTGGCATCACTGCTGGGCACTGACTGGCACAACCCCTGGGCACTGACTGGTGGCACTGACTGGCAGCACTGCTGGGCTGCACTGGTGGGCAGCACTGGTGGGTGGGCATAGTGGGTGGCACTGGTGGGCACAGGTGGGGTGGGACACAGGTGGATGGCACTGCTGGGCACAGGTAGGTGGCACTTCTGGGCACAGGTGTGTGACACTGCAGAGTGGCACAGGTGGGTGCACTGCTGGGCACAGGTGGGTGCACTGCTGGGCACAGGTGGGTGATCTGCTGGGCACAGGTGGGCGGAGCTAGTGGGCGCACTGCTGGGCACAGGTGGGCGGAACTTGCGGGTGGCACTGCTGGGCACCGATCATCAGGGCACTGATCATCAGTGCCCTGATGATCGGTGCCGATCCCCGCTCTGACAACTGCCGGTTCTCGGCAGTACTTTCCTCACGATCTGACAGCGTGAGGAAAGTGCAGCCGAGAACCGGCACTTGCATTTCCCTGTGATCAGCGTGTCATTGGACACCGCTGATCACGTGGTAAAAGGCCGCTGTGATTGGCCTTTTACCACATCACGTGATCAGCTGTGTCCGTAGGACACAGCGATCACGGAGATCGCCGGGTGCGCGCCCCCTGGGGCGCGCAGGAGAGCGCGTTCTGGGAGGACGTCATATGACGTCCACTCAGAACTGGCCGGCCGCAGTGCAGCCGTCAATCGGCTATCTGCGGTCGGCAACTAGTTAACAACCATTACCTGGTCTCTGTAAATATCCATTCTTGAGTAATGTCCTGGAATTTGGTCCAGGTTTCCCGATTATGAGACCCCCGTAATGGTTTAGGAACATGCATGTAGTTCCAAACTAGGTCAGCTTACCACTGCAATCTGAAGGTCTCAACAATGTCCATGACATCCTGTGGGACGTAGGGGTGGTCCCCACTCAAGAGCCACCCTCTTTTGAATCTCCGTTTGAAAATGGGAAAATATGGGAAGCTCCTACTTCCTGCCCTGTCCAGGGTGTACACAGGACGGTGGGGAATGAAGTATGCATTTATTGAAAGAAGAATTCTGAGGTCTGGTTCTAGCCCAGGGAGTTGAGGATCCTGACTGAACCTGGGGTTTAGCTTGAGTTGGCTCTATCCTCTTTGGTCTGTCAGCTAAGCCTGGGGTAGAGTAACTTCCTGACAGTCCCATCAGAGGTTCAGTTTCCTCGGTAGTGTCCCCCCAGTCCCATTCCTTCTCTGAGTTGCTACCTGGGGACCATTCCTCGCAGTTTACCTCCAGGGGCCCAAACTCTGCCTGCAGTTGTTGCATTTTAGGAAGTATTCATTGTTGATTGTTGTTGATTTCTGTTATTGCTTGCTATATTCACCAATCAGCCATAACTTTATGACCGCCCACCTAATATATTAGGTAGGTCCCCCTTTGCCACCAAAACACCCCTGATCCATCTCAGCATGGACTCTATTAGACCTCTGAAGGTACGCTGTAGTATCTGGCACCAAGCCATCAGTAGCAAATCCTTTAAGTCCTGTAAGTCGTAAAGTTGTTTATCCTGCTCATCCCACAGATGCTCAATTGGATTGAGATCTGGATAATTAGGAGGCCAAGTCACCCACACCTCAGACTCGTTGTTGTGTTCCTCAAACCACTCTTAAATAATTTTTGCAGTGTGGCAGGTCACATTGTCCTGCTGAAGGAGGCGACTGCTATCAAGGAATACTGTTTCCATGAAGGGGTGTACTTGGGCACCAACAATGTTTAGGTAGGTGGTAAAAGTAAAATCTATATGAATGATAGGAGCCAAGGTTTCCCAGCAGAACATTGCCCAAAACATCACGCGTTCTCCTCCGGCTGGTCTTCTTTCCATACGGCATCATGATGCCAACTCTTCCCCAGGTAAGTGACGCACATGCACCCGGCCATCCACATGATGTAAAAGAAAATGTGACTCATCAGACCAGGCCACCTTCCTCCGTTGCTACGTGGTCCAGCTCTGATGCTCACATGCCCATTGTAGGCGCTTTTGGCTGTGGACACGGATCATCATGGTCTTCAGATACACAGCTCCATACACAACAAACTTCAATGAACATTTTATCTGCTTTCAACACATCAATTTCAGGGACAAGGTTTACTTGCTGCCCAAATTACCCCCGCAGACTTTCAGATGCCATTGTAAAAAGATAATCAATGTTATTCCCTTTACCGTGGTCATAAAGTTATGGCTGATCTGTGTGCGTACCTGTTATATACATATATGTGCTTGCTAACAGAGTGATTGATTGATGTAAGAGACATTTTTATCTTAGCCATGCAAAAATGCCCTCGCCACCCTCTTATACCTATCATGCCATTGCTTTCTTGCCACTCCTGCCCCCGTCAGCAGTAATTCTGGATAAACCCTCTTCGTACTGCTAAATATCCATTCCAGCAAACTTTGCAATAAACAGGGATTTTTATTTCACATACATTGCAATATATGTTTAAACCGGCCAACTGCGTCAAAGTAATCCCTCCTGGCCAGTCCCTACTCTACTCTGCCAATGCAAATGCTACTGTGGACACAATGCCAACATGGGGCAAACAGACACGAAGTGGGGGAGAGCTACTACGTCTGTACCTCTCCCCCACTATGTGTCTGTTTGCCCCATGTTGGCATTGTGTCTACAGTAACATTTGCATTGGCAGAGCAGAGTAGGGACTGGCCAGGATGGATTACTTTGATGCAGTTGGCCGGTTTAACCCTTTCATTGCCAGAACCTTTTTCGCATTTTTTTTTGTACACAATGTTTAAAAAAAAATCATGACTGGTCCACTGTTCACTTCTCCCTGAGATTGACTAATAACCACACTGACAACAAAGATACTTTTAATGCATTGATACTTTATTATTTAAGTATTGGCCACAGCTTGATATCTATGAATAATGAACACACTCAACCAATAAAACATATCTAACACCAAATCCCTTTTAGCAGTGCTCAGTGGCGTATCTCCACTTTTCTTCCTTAGTAGGAGCCAATTCATCCCCCAGCCGTCCAGGTTAGGCTCAGGGGCTTACTTGGGCCTCCTGCTACCACTTCCACCTCCTCTACCAGCCACCTGTCACCTCAGTCCTCAAAAGGGATAAACACCAGCTGTGATAAAAAATACCGCGTGATAACATATATACATGACTAGAACCAAGAATAACAAGTTGTCTCTTAATTATGCGCTAATCACAATAATGCCACAGACATTCCAAAACAAATAATGAGATGAGAAGACAATAGATAATACACCATAACATAATCAGTAAATGGAAGGAATATGGGAGTGAAATTTTGCTGTGCGTTTGGCCCACGGTCACGATTTATTGTCTGTTACACCTTTTTGGTCTTCATTTTGGACCTTTATTCTTTCACCTTTCCCTTCACCCCCATATTCCTTCCATTTACTGATTATGTTATGGTGTATTATCTATTGTCTTCTCATCTCATTATTTGTTTTGGAATGTCTGTGGCATTATTGTGATTAGCGCAACATCAATTTTCTGTTTGTTGTTTTTTGCTAGTGGTATACCGGGGGTGTGTGCTGCTGTCCCATTAGTCCCATCTTTTCTAGTAGCAGCGCAAAAAGTTTTTTACATATTGCTTCTTAATTAATTACTTTGTATTTATTTATTCATTATTCTGTAAGAAAAAACTGCACTTTTTTTTTTTTAATTTATGTTTTTGTTTTCTTTTTTTTTTTCTCTGCAATTATTTATTTATTATAAATGTCATAAGCAAAGCCATAACAACAAAACCCAGGAACAAAAACTTGGGGAGGGAGGGGACTTCTTTCTTCGTGGAAGGGCACCAACTGAGTGACCAGTATGTCATGGGACCAGGGGGGGACTGACCTTTTGGGACTCGGGCACTGCTGAGGGCCCAGGGTCAGTAGGGGGCCCCATGAGATGCCCCTGGTACCTTTTTTCATAGGCTTTTTTGAGTTTGGGCAAGGACACAGGGGCCCCATGATCCCCTATTGCCCGGGGGGCCCCATGAGTTGTCAGTCCGCCCCTGCATGGGACTTAAAGTCTCCTTTTTCTTCCTCCTACCAATAATCTGCCACCACAATCCAAATCATGCCCCTTCACCATCCCGCCCTTCTGCCATCACTCAACCCCTTAATTACCCTACAGACTAGTCCGAAGGGACCGTTTATAACCCAGGGCATTGCTTTTTAGGCCTGAAGATTACACAAAACCTCCAAACATTATATATTTTCTGAAAGCAGACACCCTAGAGCAGTGGTTCTCAACCTTCCTAATGCCGCGACCCTTTAATACAGTTCCTCATGTTGTGGGGACCCCCAACCATAAAATTATTTTCATTGCTACTTCATAACTACAGCAGCTCTTCTCATTCCTGCCATACAAGGGCGTCACACCTCCCCCATCCCCACCACACAGAGCAGCCAGCTCTCTTTACACACGGCCCGCTCTCACCTCCACCCCGCCACACCATCATGGATCCGCTCTCCCCCCTCCTTCACCCAGTCCCCAGCTAGCCGGCTCCCTGGCAGAGGCCACGCCCAATCTGAGGACGTCAAAACTTTTTCACTGACGCTTCCCGTTGACACATCACCTTGTCTGGTTGTTTCAAGTTCAATCCCGATAAGCCCTGCCCCGCATTTAGAGCTGGGGATGATGTCGCCGCTCAGCGATGATTGGGTGAGCAGTGCAGACAATGGGCATGGCGGATGTTGTGGGAGATGATAGGCTGGGGCAGAGGGGTCAGGTGTCATCACTGCTGACTGTTCTCTTACTCGTATGTGGGAGTATCTGCATGGGCTGGGTAGCAGCCTGGGTGTGATAGCTAGTTGAGTCAGATTTCCATCAGGGCTGAGTGGCTTGAGTGGCTCTGCAGGCCAGTTCCCTGATACTTCCCCCTGCTCTAGAATATTGGAAATGATTCTAGAAGCAGTGGGCAGCTGTGAGAGGCTGGTCTGCACACTTGGAGGATCTTGGCAATCCCCAAGCAAGAGACTTGGCATGGGGCCAGGGCAGCCTTCAAATGTGGTGGAGCCTGCTCAGCAGCAGGAGAGTTTGGGTGGAAGATGAAGTGAGAGGCTGGAGAGCAGAAGTTTGGGAGGGTGCCCAGATGGGAAGGAGCTCACCTACAGGCAGAGGAGCTGGAAAGGAGGAAAGCTCAGGACATCACCAGCCCTCAGAGCGAGGACCATCTGTGCAGCAGGGAAGGAAACGACCCAGCAGAAGGCCTGAGAGCAGACATCGACCGATCAGCTCAAAGACAGAGGACTGATTGAGTA